GCAGTTTGTGCAAGTCCAGAACAGAGACGACTTGCAATAAGACAAAAAACGGCCGGTTGCCGATCGCGTGAGTTCCAGGGGCAGCTCCTTAAGTTCGGCCATCCTAGTACACACACGTGACTGACCGCTCGCTCGCACCAACAGGAGGAGGAGGGTCGTGTTACTCTCTACACTGCACTCAACCTGAGGGATTCCTACACTTTCAGTCTTTGAGGAGACATGAAAAATAGTGCATACCACAGGAACGGTATAACGGAAAATATTAATAATATTTTTTTTGAAAACGGAAATTTTTAAATCGCGGTATACCTTGAAACCGGTAATCGGCCCATGCCTAGACACCAGTGTGATCATGTTTCAGAGGGTTAATAAATCAGTCAAACTTGTACAAATTAGTATAAAGAAATAACTGTGCAGATTATTCCAACCCACTGATCCACTGATTTATTTTGATCAATAAATGAGTTAAACTACCTCACTAAAACAAAAGTCATCACCTGAATCACCACTTAATGACTGACTCAAAATTAGCCATGAAATGAGTCAATCCCAAGAGCATGTTTGTGCACCAGTTTTTGTTTCAATTCCCTGAAAAGCACAGTTAAAAGAACCACTTCATGGAAATGAATCTGGCTCTTCTGTCCTGTTCGGCTGGTTAGCATGAACAGTAGATGAAGTAACTACAACTACACAATTACGGATCTTTTTTCCATCATTCTGTCCTCCTAACATCTGAAATGATTGCTATTCCGGTCTCATCATATGTTTGGTTTCTCTCTGACAGATGTTGGGAGCCCTCACCGCGATCCCGATAAAGGTGCCTCACATCAGCTCTCTGCAGCGGCTGGCAGGACACTCACCCAGTGTGCTACCTCAGGTAATACACAACATTAGAAAACATTCAAACCTTTATTCATGAAACCTTATTATTTACAAATAATTTTCATAGCTGACACTTTTAAAACATGTCAAAGACACGGCAAGTGTCAAGTGTAGATAATAAAACAGGAGCAGCTAAAAGTGAGAATGAGAGAGATTCATATCAGACACTTTTATTCATTTTATTGGTTTTTGTCCCTAATTTATACCTTCCTTTAAGAGTTTATTTTTTTGTAATTAATGAAATAATTGCATTAATAATTGATTAATGAATATATTGAATTAAACTGAATAAATTAACGAACTTGAGTGGTTGACTTATGTAGTATCCTTTTCATCAACAAAGATTTCTGAATAATATTGCATATTTACATACAGTGGGTACGGAAAGTATTCAGACCCCCTTAAATTTTTCACTCTTTGTTATATTGCAGCCATTTGCTAAAATCATTTAAGTTAATTTTTTTTCCTCATTAATGTACACACAGCACCCCATATTGACAGAAAAACACAGAATTGTTGACATTTTTGCAAATTTATTAAAAAAGAAAAACTGAAAAATGCTCAGTATTTAGTAGAAGCACCCATTTGATCTAATACAGCCATGAGTCTTTTTGGAAAAGATGCAACAAGTTTTTCACACCTCGATTTGGGGATCCTCTGCCATTCCTCCGTGCAGATCCTCTCCAGTTCTGTCAGGTGGGATGGTAAACGTTGGTGGACAGCCATTTTTAGGTCTCTCCAGAGATGCTCAATTGGGTTTAAGTCAGGGATCTGGCTGGGCCATTCAAGAACAGTCACAGAGTTGTTGTGAAGCCACTCCTTCGTTATTTTAGCTGTGTGCTTAGGGTCATTGTCTTGTTGGAAGGTAAACCTTAGTTCCAGTCTGAGGTCCTGAGCACTCTGGAGAAGGTTTTCGCCCAGGATATCCCTGTACTTGGCCGCATTCATCTTTCCCTCGATTGCAACCAGTCGTCCTGTCCCTGCAGCTGAAAAACACCCCCACAGCATGATGCTGCCACCACCATGCTTCACTGTTGGGACTGTATTGGACAGGTGCCTGGTTTTCTCCACACATACCGCTTAGAATTAAGGCCAAAAAGTTCTATCTTGGTCTCATCAGACCAGAGAATCTTATTTCTCACCATCTTGGAGTCCTTCAGGTGTTTTTTTAGCAAACTCCATGCGGGCTTTCATGTGTCTTGAACTGAGGAGAGGCTTCCGTCGGGCCACTCTGCCATAAAGCCCCGACTGGTGGAGGGCTGCAGTGATGGTTGACTTTCTACAACTTTCTCCCATCTCCCGACTGCATCTCTGGAGCTCAGCCACAGTGATCTTTGGGTTCTTCTTTACCTCTCTCACCAAGGCTCTTCTCCCCCGATAGCTCAGTTTGGCCGGACGGCCAGCTCTAGGAAGGGTTCTGGTCATCCCAAACGTCTTCCATTTAAGGATTATGGAGGCCACCGTGCTCTTAGGAACCTTAAGTGCAGCAGAAAGTTTTTTGTAACCTTGGCCAGATCTGTGCCTTGCCACAATTCTGTCTCTGAGCTCTTCAGGCAATTCCTTTGACCTCATGATTCTCATTTGCTCTGACATGCACTGTGAGCTGTAAGGTCTTATATAGACAGGTGTGTGGCTTTCCTAATCAAGTCCAATCAGTATAATCAAACACAGCTGGACTCAAATGAAGGTGTAGAACCATCTCAAGGATGATCAGAACAAATGGACAGCACCTGAGTTAAATATATGAGTGTCACAGCAAAGGGTCTGAATACTTAAGACCATGTGATATTTCAGTTTTTCTTTTTTAATAAATCTGCAAAAATGTCAACAATTCTGTGTTTTTCTGTCAGTATGGGGTGCTGTGTGTACATTAATGAGGAAAAAAAATTAACTTAAATGATTTTAGCAAATGGCTGCAATATAACAAAGAGTGAAAAATTTAAGGGGGTCTGAATACTTTCCGTACCCACTGTATATGTAAGTGTATGTCTTAAAGTTCATCCAGAAATTAAAATTTGTTGTCAATTTACTTTCAGGTGACTTCTTTTCTTTAGTAGGACAGTATAGAAGATTGAAACATTGAAATGCAAGTTCATGGCTACCATCACTTTGAGAATCAGTAAAGAATATACAGGCAAAACAAAATGATTATTTACAACATTATTACTTTTAATCCATTTAGCTTCAGACAAACAGGACATTTTTTTCTGCAAACTGGTTCTTTTGGACAGTTCATTCTAATGAACTGGTTCAGATAACAGATTCATCAGTTTGTGTACGTAATCACAAAATTAGGTCATGTATACACAATTATTTTATTAAAGCATCCAATAATGATGTGAAACGTGGATGTTATACATGTCTAAAGCATTTAAAGTGAATAAAATAGTTTTAATCAACTCACCTTTTTACATAAACCATGGCACTTGCTCTCTAAATGACAATTGCTGGAGTAAAATTCCTCCATCTTTAGTTTTGTATCATAATGGCAAAATGCATTTGAAATTATACCAAAGTGAAAATAACCAGAAAACTTTGTGCTCACATAGAATTTTATACACAAACTATTCATTTATGACATAAATATCTGAGATTCATTTAAAGAGATCATAAACGAGCCAAAATTCATCCAAAATACCCTGAAACTAAGAACAATGTCAAACAAAAGCTGTCAGAAACTATACCTGAAAGATTGAACGATTTTGTTTAAGAGATTAAAGTATTTCAAGCCAAAGCCAAGAGCCATCTGCTGCTTTGGGGACTAAACTTTGTGGTCTCCGTCTTTTTAGGTTAGACCAAAGACTCTCATTCCAGACAGCCTTCCCCACAGCCCATGCCGAGAGCAGCAGTCCAGTCAAACGCTGGCCGTGTCGCAGAGCATGGCTGTGGTCAGCCCAAAGAGCCAAGGCGCATCTTTGCCAACTGCCAACAGCACCTTCAGTCATGAGAGACTCTCCAACAGGCAGCAAGAGAGTTCCTCTTTGCTCTCGTCTGCGCCGAGCACATCCACAGCCTCAGCAAGTCAAGGGGTGGCTTATGCCATCATCTCAGCAGCTTCGCCTGCAGCCCATGGGGTGTCAGGAGTAACCGAGGCCATTAAGGTGCAACCGCTGATTTTCAGCCCTGACAGCAAGGTCAGAAGTTCTTTTATCAACTACTTAACAATTAAACATGCTGCTCAGCATGCTGAATTAGTTTTGAACTTGCATGATGCTGTTAGTGTCATGCTGTGGCAAATGCTAATTAGATGCACAGTATCTGTTCAGTTGATTTAAGATTTTTAATGTGTGTATCCAGGTTATAATCATTCAGCCCCAGATTCCCAGCAACTCCAAGAGTTCTCCGACCTCACAAACTAACAGTCCTGTGAAGGAGCCAAGCCCTCACCCCTCAACCCCATCTAAAAACGAGGAGGATCCAGAGGTACACTCACAACCAGTTTCAACTGTTAGAAAAAAAAAGTTTGTATTACAGTTAATTGTTGATATGACCAGTGCACTTAGACAGGAAGAGACCATCTGATTGACATGGCAGTGACTAATTACAGCAGTGTTGTAATACTGGAGGCCAAGACAGGACTCGGACTGTCAAGTTCGAGTTTGAGACTATATTATTTATGACTAGTCGAGACTCGTTTATTAGCGTCTGAGTCCAGGCCGAGTCCAAATATTCCTGAAAATATAGTCTTGAACTCGGACTTGTGGAGGACTTGAGTCTGTGTCTGGTATCGTCTGGATTTGAGTGCTACAACATTGAATTACAGTTCATCCAAACCATCTTCTTATTCTTGGAATCTTGCGACTTACAGTTGAGGAATACAACAGGCGATGTATCTTAAGATGGCAAAAAACACGAGAAGTGCCCGTTATACAAGGTTTCAGTAATCATTCAAAATAGTAAAAAGCTAGGACAGGAGGATAATAAGAGAACAGAAAAAGTTAAGGCATAGAATTTTTTAAAAATTATTATTATTATTGGAGGCAGTTAGATGTTCACGGAAGAAATTAGTTTTCAGTTGTTTCTTGAAGATTGTGGGGGATTCGGCTTTTTGGATGTTGGAGTTGGGTAGGTCATTCCACCAACAGGGTACGGTGAAAGAAAACATCCTTGAGAGTGATTTTGTGCAGCCACTCATTTACCGACCACAGGCTTCTGGAGGGGATGTAGATGCATAGGAGAGTGCGGAGGTAGGAAGGTGCGAAGCCTGTGGCAGTTCTGTAGGCAAGCACCAATGTTGAACTTGATGCAGGCCATGACTGGAAGCCAATGCAGAGAGATGAGAAGCAGTGTGACATGGCTCTTTTGGGCTCATTGAAAACAAGACATGCTGCTGCATTCTGATTGCACATGTTGCAAGTCCAGCCAGTAGAACACTGCAGTAGTCCAACCTAGAAATGACAAGGGCCTGGATGAGAAGCTGTGTTGCATGCTCTTTTAGGAAGGGTCTGATTTTCCTGATGTTGTGTAGTGCAAACCTGCATGATCGTGCTGTTTTTGCAATGTGATCTTCAAAGGTCAGCTGATCATCAAGGATCACCCCAAGATTCCTGGCCGAACTCGATGGGATTATCGTTGATGAGCCCAGTTGGATGGTAAACTGGTGCTGTACTGATGGGGTGGCTGGGAAGATGAGAAGTTCTGTCTTTGCCAGGTTGAGCTGCAGGTGATGCTCTTTCATCCATGCCGAGATGTCCGTCAGGCAGTCTGAGATCCAAGCAGGTATTGTTGAATCATCTGGTTGAAATGAGAGGTAGAGCTGCGTGTCATCAGCATAGCAATGATAGGAAAAACCATGCGCCTGAATGATGGGTCCCAGTGATGTAGTGAATATAGAGAAGAGGAGGGGCCCAAGAACTGATCCCTGAGGAACCCAGAGACCAGTTGATGTGATTTGGATACCTCTCCTCCCCAAGCCACCCTGAAGTACCTACCTGTGAGGTAAGACTCCAACCAGTGGAGTGCAGTTCCGGAGATGCCTAGCAATGAGAGGGTAGACAGAATGATTTGATGATTAACAGTGTCAAATGCAGCAGATAGATCTAGGAGAATGAGAACTGAAGGTTTGAACTCAGCTCTTGCACTCCATAGCGCTTCACTGACTGATAGCAAAGCGGTTTCAGTTGAATGGCCACTTTTAAATCCAGATTGGTCATTGTCCAGCTGGTTGTTCTGTGAGAGGAAGGAAGACACTTGCTTGAAAACAATGCTTTGAAGTGATTTTGCTATGAAAGGGAGGAGAGACACTGGCCTGTAGCTTTCATTAATGGCGCTTTTCCACTGCATGGTATGGCACGGTACGGTTCGGTACGGTTCACTTTTGGGGGGGTTTTCCACTGGGTACAGTACCTGGTACCTGGTACTTTTTTCAGTACCACCTCGGTTGAGGTTCCAAGCGAACCGTAATATTACCAAAACGTGACGTGCAAACTCTGCTGATCACTGATTGGCCGGAGAGAATCGTCACTA